GGTGAAAACTAACTTTCATAAGCTACTAATCACAATTAGATGTCTATGCAAACATACTCCCAGTGTTATGGAACCATCCAAATAATTATTGTGTAGTAAAAACACAAAGTGACGTCCTTAATTAGTTTCTTATGAAAACCTCCATCTTTGATTAATAAAGAAAAAAATTTTGTACCCTTAATCAATAAAAAGCAAAAAAAATTAATATCCTTATCAATATGATTCCTCACTTAAAAAGCATATACATCTACTAATGATTTAAATAATTTGGTAGTAATATTTTTTTAATGAAAGTAAAAAAATTTAAGTTTAAATTACATTATATAGGGATAAGGTGGGTTAAAAGATGAAAAAAATTATTTTAAATTATACAACTCAAAATTAATTAAAAAAGGGGAAAGCATTGACGCCCTGCCACAAGGCTAAATAGCACTTTAACATTCAAGTTTCAAATTGCATGATAACATTTTTTTTTCTTTATTATTATTATTCTTTTGTAAAAGTTTGCATGATAGCTGATTGTGCTGCTAAGTTTGTTAAAAAATAGCATTTTAAGTTGAAAATTTTAAATTTTTTTAGAAGTTGCCCATAAATACTACTGCATTTCTTTTTTTTTTTTATTATTATTATTATTCGGGTGAAAGGGATAAAAACGAAGATCGAGCCATTGTCATGATAAAGAAATTTACATTAAACTACTAAACTACTAAGTCGGCAGACCTTCTTCGTACTTCTTCTGCATCTCTTGAAGATGATAATTTAGTAACAAAAGTGAGTAAGTTTTGCAGGAAGTAATAATCATTGCCGATGAAAAAACAAAAATCAGTGGTCATTTTGCATTAATGTATTCTTTTCCCATCTTAGAACTCAAATTTATGCATTAACAAGCTCTTTATGATTTCTGATTGGAATAAGTTTTTATTCCGATCTAATTGATGACATTTTCCCTTCCCCTTTTCCCTTTGTAGTCACCTTCGTTCATTAAAAAAAAAAAAAAAAGCAAAAACGATAAAGCAACAAAAAAAAAAGTCTATGTAATTTAAATTGTATAAGTTAAATTATTAAATAAAAAATAATTTTATGTAACTGATCCGTTAGGTCGATTGACTCTTATCACCTTATTAAAATGCAGTTCTTTTCTCTCTTTAAGATTAGGTTTAAGCCTCCATAATATTTTGTTCAAAAAAATAAAATAAAATAAAAAGTAATTTTATAAATTATTAAATAAAAAATAATTTTATGTAACTGATCCGTTAGGTCGATTGACTCTTATCACCTTATTAAAATGCAGTTCTTTTCTCTCTTTGAGATTAGGTTTAAGCCTTCATAATATTTTGTTCAAAAAAAATAAAATAAAATAAAAAGTAATTTTATAAATTATTAAATAAAAAAAAATCTCCTAATACTATGAATTATTCTTCATCTAATAAATTTTGTTTTTGAAATTCTAGACTTTGCTTTGCAAAACAAGAACTCTAATAAAGAAATAATTGTCATTTCAATTGGTGTACGTGTTGACAAACATTTTGAATGGAAGAAGAGAAAATTGTAACTCCATCTTATTGTAAGTTTTTTTTTTTTAATCTCAAAAAAATAAAAATAAAAAAGGACGATTTTAAGACCCCTTATAATCAGAAAAGCCGTGACCCATGCCCAAAGCCCAAAATAAACTACTAAAATGGACAGTTTTAAGCCCCTTACAATCAAGAAAAGCCGTGACCCCTAGCGTAAAGCCCAAAGACACGAGATGAAAACGATCTTAATTTATTTTTGGGTTTGACTAAAATTAGGTAGAAAGTTAAAAATATATTAAATATTTTTTTTATCATAAATATATATTAAAAAATAAAATTTAATTTTTAATTTATTAATTATTTAATTAAATTCATATAATATTAAAAGTAATATTAATTATATTTTTTTATATATATTTATAATAACAAATAATAATAAATACACAATTCTCCTATAAGTAGAGAATAGAAAAACCTTTACTTTTTACTCATCCACATCAGCTACCGTCTATTCACTTCTGATGAAGCCAATAAATAACCGTTGGATCCATGCACGACACCCTCTCTGTTCCTCAAGTTTCTCTTCTGACCCAGTCAGGAGAAAGCTCGAGCACAACATCCTTTGTGGAGACGAACCCAAAAAGCTTCTTCTTCGGTGATTTTCTTGGCACTTCCTATATCAGACCCCGCCAGTGCGTTCCGATTTCTTCTCATTGTTCTTGCTTTCCGTTTTCGATTCGTAGTCGGATTGCTTTGGTTTTGTTTTTTAAATTCCACCTAACTTTCAACTTTCTGTTTGTGTTAAGGTTTGGAGGGGGACGGATTCCGGGGATGGAGAGGGATTTGGTGGATTTGTTCGAAGCAGCCAAGAAGGCGGCGGATTTGGCAGGCTCCGACGATGTTTCGTCGAGCGGCCCCGAAGTTTCGCGATGCATTGACGCCTTGAAACAGCTTAAGGGATTCCCTGTCACTTACGATATTCTGGTTTCTACTCAGGTATTTTTCTTCATCTTTTTTTTTTTTTTTAATTTCTTTTGAATTTCCTTGTGATGTTTGAAGAAATAGAAAAGCTTATGTTTTGGATATCCTTTCAAGTTTTATATTATTTGCATGTGTATGCGGACTTGAATGTACTGCAGATAGGTTTATTGAGTTCGACTCTTACATGATTTTATGGTTGAATTGAAAGGGGTTCTTTTTATCTTATGTTGGGAAGAAATTAGCTTCTTTTTTTTTTTTTTTTTTTTTTTTGGTCTGTTTTAATTTCTCCCAATAAACAAATGAACAGAGAGCTAAAATATTAAGAGAGACAATAACTTGAAGGTGATGAGGATTATATGCAAATCTTTGGTTGCATTGACTTTATATATGGAGATGCCTAATTAATTGCCCTGAGTGGTTATGTTGAAGTTGCATTGCTTCTGATGATATTAGGAGGATTTGAATAGCTTTTTATTAGTGGAAGGAATTGGCTATGTGACTCTGTCATATATAAGAAAGAGTGAGGTAGGTGAGAAGATTGAATTAGTGGGTAGGGATAAAAACAGTATGCTAGGTAGTAGGAGACTTTGGGAAACTGGAAATTTCTTTTAAGACTGCCGTTTCCTACTTACTTTTTTCTTCACAAGTTTACAATATAAAAACTTCCATGATAAACATGCCTCTCTGACATTTTGTTTTTTCATTGGTACTTTTCTCCAATAGCTAGTAAAAGAAAAGTATTCTCTGTTTTAAATTTTTTATCTACCTCTTTCAGTTTCACCCATGTATGTTGACCAAGAAAGTTTGCTATATTATATTCATGTTTAGCGAGATGGATGGCTATTTCTTGGCTAAAGCAAAAGAAAGGATGAAATAAAACAATTTAAGATATATGTAGGAAGTGACTTGTATGCTTGGGCAAAGTTGGTACCCAAAAAAAAAAAACACATACATGGGTGAACAAACCTTTTTGTACCTGAGTATGTTTAATTCGTTTAACATATTTTTTAGGTTGGCAAAAGGCTTAGACCCCTTGCTAAACATCCTAGGGAGAAGATTCAATCTGTGGCTTCTGACTTGCTTGAGTCATGGAAGAAAGTAGTCATTGAGGAGACAAGCAGAAATAAGAAAAATGGCAGTGCTACTGCTGTCAAAGTGGAGAATGTTCAGAAACCAGGCACAGTGAAGGTAGAAAAGGTTTCAAGTCCAGAAACTGTCAAAGCTGAGAAAGTATCTAGACATGAATCACCTGATTCAACAAGAACCATCAAAGTAGAGAAGGAAGCAAATGGGGATACTGTAATGGCTGAGAAGAGGGATTGGGGAGAGACTGTGAAGGTTGAAAAGATTCCTAAAGATGAGAAACAAGCTTCTAATGTTAACAAACAATCACAAGCACCAACTGCTCCCCCAAGGCTGACTTCTTTGGTAAGATGTAATGATGCTCTACGTGACAAAATCCGCGAACTTCTTGCAGAGGCCTTATCCAAGGTTCCAGGTGAGGCTGATATGGACATCAGAGATCAAGTCAATGCTTGTGACCCCATCAGGGTTGCTGTGGCTGTGGAATCTGTAATGTTTGAAAAGTTGGGAAGGTCAAATGGCTCCCACAAATTGAAGTACAGATCAATAATGTTCAACATGAAGGACGCAAACAACCCAGATTTAAGAAGGAAGGTTCTTCTTGGAAAAGTCAAGGCAGAGAGGCTTGTTACCATGACTCCAGAAGAAATGGCCAGTGAACAAAGGCAGCGTGAAAATAACCAAATAAAAGAGAAGGCTTTATTTGATTGTGAGCGTGGTGGCGCACCTAAGGCTACCACAGATCAATTCAAGTGTGGACGTTGTGGTAAACGGAAGACCACCTATCATCAAATGCAGACAAGGAGTGCAGATGAACCTATGACGACCTATGTCACATGCGTTAACTGCAACAACCATTGGAAATTCTGTTAGGGCCATCATGCATGCAGAGGAGACCAGGACTGATTATCCTTATTGCTTTCTTCATTTATTATTCATTATTATGATAATTGATGTTTTTATTTTGGTCATTATGATAATTAATGTTAGAAATTGTCTTTTCCTTCAATTTTATCTGAATAGACCTTTTTAAGCATTTGCTAGGCATTTAGAGATGATTTTCATAGGTATAACTTAGTAGTATTTGTTTAGGAGTTTTCACAACCCTCCACAGCCTTCCCAAAATCAAAGAACACTGCATATTAGTTGTTGTATGTGGAACCCTCACCAGCTGCTGGTTTGTTCTTCACAGGGTGCTTCCAGGTTGTTGAAGGGTTGGGAGGAAGCTCACATTAGAATTAGACCTCCTTAATTTAGTTTGTATCTCACATTGCCACAAAGGCATATTGTGAATTTTTTTTATTGCTTTTATTAGAGCAGCCTCATAAATTTCTTTTTCAGGTGTTATATATGATCTATAAAAAAAAAGGTGCTGTGCAATGTTGACTGTAGAATTTAAATAATTAGATGAGGGACAAACCACTAATATTGGAGACATATCCCATCCAATGGTTGTTATTTTGCAGTCCAAGCACAACAGGGGGCTCATATATCTATTGCATATAACTCATTTACATGCTCAAAAGAAGAAAGGCATAAAGCACTGTGAAGCTCCTTTTTCAGAAGCTCCAAAGAAATTTTAGTGAAAAGAAGAGCGCCTGTCAATTTGAATTCTGAACGCCGACAATAATGAGATATTATCATTCTTTTATGAATGCTACAATGATTTTCAAGTTTCAACTGAAAAATCCGCATTCCAAAACTCTATTCTCGGAAAACCGAAGAAGATCATTAAATGCAAAACCAAAAGATCATTTATCATTCATTCATTCATCCTCTTCTGGAATTGTTTCTTCAAAATCCGAGCTGGGACTCGGAAATGTGTTTTCATCCAACGATTCTTCCAAATCCACATAATTCAATCCCTGATTATAAAGAAACAACTTCAAATTACAAACAAACACGAAGAACTAAATTAGCAATGGAACAAATTGGAAATCAACAGAACTTACTGAGGATTGCCCTGCAGTTGTCTTCCTTTCTTGTTCCTTCTCCCTTAGTGTTCTTATCGGAGATATTCTCTGTTTCAAATTTCATTAAACAATCAATTTTTAAAAAAAGAAGAAAATTAAATCCAAATTCACATTGATAATGAGTTGATTTAATTTCTTCAATTCTTACCATGCATAAGGATTGGAGCTCCTTCAATCTGTACAGCCTATCGACCTCGATCTCTTGCTCCTTCTGAATCTGTCCTCTGCGTTCCAGTTCCTTCATCTGCAAATCCAGCACCGCGCCCCTTTCTCTCAACATCCTCTCCGTCCTCTCGTTATCCAACCTCAACCGCTCCATCTTCTTCCTGATGGCACTGAGTTCTTCTGCCAGCGACGAATCCAACGGCTCCATCGTCGTCTGCATGGAATGGTTCGGACGGTTCTCCTTGTTCGAATCGCCCACCGCCGAGATCTCGATCCTTTCTTGCTTCGGCTTCAGTTTCAGCTTGTTCCTCTCAACTTCATTCTCCGAATCAGCGAGTAAGTTCTTTGGATGGAGAGGTTTGCGTCCGGATTTAGGACGGAGCCTCTGGTCTAAGACGAGCTGGTTTTGAACCTTCAGCATTTTTGAAGCTTGAGTAGGACGAAGCTTGAGCAGTACGGAGCTGAGAAATGGGAGAAGATAAAAGGGGGAAAGCGATGTGGAGAAGCTTGGGACAAAAAACTATAAAACACAAATTGTGTTTGAATTTGAATGAGAGACGGCGCTAACGGCTACTATATATACTATTGTTTGTTTTTCTTTTTAATTTCCAAAAATGTTTTCCCTTTTTCACCTGTAAAATAGTGAATTTTTTAAATTTTATTTTAATTTTATAAGAGTTTTTACTTTACAATTTAGATTATACTACATTATAAAATTAAAATTATTGTAGAAGAGAATAACTTTAAAATTAGAAGCTCATTATTTGTCTAATATTTTTAATTGTACAATTCGTCAACGATCTAAATATTTCAGTAGTTATTTCATTCTGACAGAAGAAGTAAAAGATTTTAAATTCGAGTCGCACGCTATCCGATGGGTGGAATAAGAGATGAAAAATAGTTGCCTCTAATTGTACAACATAAAAAAAAAAAAAGTTATGCAATTCAAACTATATAACTTTTTTTTATTAAATTAATTAATTTAATTTCTTTGTTGGTTGTGTAAACTAAGCATAAAGAACGAGTCCATTGTTATATAAGTCAAAATGTACCATAAGACAAAATAGAGACTTTCAAATAGAAAATGACCCTAATATTAGAGGATAACTCTTAATACTTTTTATTTAAAAGTTTATATTTTGTATTTTAATACAATTTGAATTGCGAAACATTTTTCAATAAAGAAATAAAATTAGTTTCATGCTGGATGCTTTCTAGTGTTCAGGTCTACATGTTCTCTTCAGCCCTTTATATTTTGTTATTTAATTTTTCATAAAACTTATTGAATAATAAATTGTTATTTAACAATTAAAGTACTAATTAGTAAGTTGATGAAAGCTACCTTCAGATTTAACAATTAAAGTACTAATTAGTAGGTTGATACCTTCAGATTTCAAGCTTTTTCTTTTCGTTTCTTTGTTTTTCTTTTCTGTCTTTTTCTTTCTTTTATTGTTCTGGTTTCGAGCTTGAAAGACTTTTTTAGCTTTCTCCAGTCCTCTTTCATTTGAAGTTTGAACATTAACAAAAGTTATGCTGTCTGGGAACTTATGGACGACTAAAAACTTATTCTTATTAGCACAAAGTCGGTTTTGGTGTTTGATGGTATTATGTTACAACTAATAAAAATTTGAAAATTGAAATTAAAGATTTTTATATTTAAAATTTGAAAATTATAAAAAGAGATCTTTTTTTTTTTTTATGTCCTCTTCCATCTTTTATTTTATCTCTTATCTCATCTCATCAGCATGTCATGTGATTTACATTTAGGACCTCTTACTTTTAGGAAAAAAAAATTACTACTAAATTATTTAAATCGTTAGTTATACAAAGAAATTTAAAAACAATAGAATAAAAAAGTCATTTTTTGTTACAAAATGTGAGACCGAGATGGTTATCATATGGTGAAAACTTCCCAACCAATCTCTATCTTGTGCCCTCTCCAGCACATATTATCTTTGGTTATTCCAGTTTCAATCACCCCTCGCGCCCCATCTTCCATCTCAAACCAATGGCAATGGTCATGTCCTGCCATTGCGTGATGAGGGATTAAAAGAGCAAACTAGAGAATATTTTAAGTTCTGCAGTGACAATTGGCGACATTACATACGGCTAATGTATTAAAAGGAGGCAAGAGGAGACCTATGCTACCATG